CATGTTGTCGAGGATGTCTTGTCAATTTACCAGTGCAAGTTGTGTTGCTCCATTAGTCCACTAGATGCGTAATAATCTTCATTTTACGTTTAGAAATTCTGCCTAGAGTTAGACTTAGTATAGTTACCGCCCAAATTGGTAACTATTCCAAAATTGTTTACTGATAATTTTTAAAAAATTTGAATATATATTTTTTACAAAAAGGAAGAGAAGAGATTGGTGGAATGACAAAGCAAGGAAGGTGGATAAGAAGAAAAAAGTTGGCATATGAAAGGTTTCTATAACGTAGAAGTGATAAACGGAAGGAGGAATATACTGAGAGCAAAAGTGGGGTAAAGGCGCTGGGATAGAAGGGATTAAGAACGAAATGTTAAAAGCAGGTGGGGATATAGTTTTGGAATGATTAGTGCACTTGATCACTATATGTGTGGAAGGGGGTTTGGTTCCAAGGGATTAACAGAGAGAATGCATATTTCCTTTGTATAAGGGAAGAGGGGATAAAATAGAGTGTAGGAATTATAGGGAAACAAGTCTGTTGACTAACGTGTATGTCAGTTATTATTGAAAGAATTATGGGTAAGAGAGAGCAAGATTGCAGAGGAACAAGAAGGTTTTAGCAGGAGCAGGGGATGTGTACCAGTGTTTACTCTGAAGCACTGAAGTGATCAATACTTAGATAAAGGTAACGAACTTTTTATTGCATTTATGGATTTGGCAGAGGCATGTGATAGGATGGATAGGGAAGCAATGTGACACAGATTACAAAAGTATGGAATAAATAGTAGGCTGCTTAAAGCAGTAAAGAGCTATTAATGTGGATAGTCATGTGCAAGTTAGGGTATGTAGGAGAGAGGAAAAATATTTTTCCAGTAAAAGCAAGTCTTAAACAGGCATATGTGAAGTCACCTTGGTTGTTTAACATATTTATGGATGGGGTTGTCAAAGAAGTAAACGCTAGGGTGTTAGAGTGGTGGGATTGAAAAATGAATCGAGAGGGATGGAGATTACTAAAGTCCTACGAGCATTCCCAGGAGGTGAGGAAAACATCCTGTGCACTGCCATCCCTCGACTGGACCAAGCTGAAGGAAATTGCTATAGCAGATACTTCGATGAGCTGGTCTTCCAATCAAAACAACAGAGACAAAGGCTGGAAATGCTCTACAAACATCAATATTTAAAAAAAATTTAACATATGCATATCTTTTAATGGAATATTTTTTAGCTTGTAATATATCGAGAAGATAAAAATCTAAGGAAAACAGTATTATGAAAGTGATATACACTGCAGTGCAATGGAGACAAGTCATCACTTGTTGACGAAAAAAATGCAGTTTCAAATTGCATTTTGACTTCAGTGAGTGGTTGTGGCGAGGCGTTGTCAGAGAGGCACCAGAGTGTTTCATGGAAATGGATATTTCCTGAATGAACTAATATATTTAAGGTTGGACAGAATTTACAGAACACACGTGGTACTGTATGTGCACTGAGAATGTGTATTTCATTACATGTATACTAAGTCTAATCTATCAAACCACAAAACGGGTGAGGATTGAACCTTGGAAAGTGAGTCGTGAAACTCTAGGCCAGTAAGGAAGTTTAATCTGTACTTTAGGGATTAAAACATTTTGTATGTCATTGCACAGTTACTTAGGGCTTTAATTATTAACAAACTGATAAAGGAAGGTCAGTCAAGGAATCAGAGAAAGATAAGACAGAGGATCTAGCGGATGACCTTGGGAACGCCGTTCCTGCGAATACATTGCGGTAACGGTCTCTGCTCTGATAGCAACAATGTCCTAGGAAATAATGCGGTATAATAGACAGTGAAATATAGCCACCAGTAGAGTGAAGTACCATGGCATTGATATCGACCGTTCAGTGTACAGAGAAATTATTTAAAGAGTCGTGATCAATATATAACCAGATATTACAGAAGTGTGTTTTTAATTACATTTAGCTTAATGAATAAATCTCAAGTGCCGTGAGCAGAAGTTATTTTCTCGATAAAATTTTGCGATTGGAAAATATCTAGAACCAAGACAGAAGTGAAGGTAAGATGCTGAGGTTGTCTTTGTTACGAGGCGCCGTGAAGAATGATGATAGTGTCAGCATCACCACTTACCAGTAAATATTGTTTGTGTCCAAAAAAAAATTTGAATGAATATTTAAGTGCACTTTGTGCCTTCTTGCAGACAAGCTGTCGGTTTTCAGTTGCTATTATTGTCATAGATGGACAGTTATTACCTATTACCAGGCAAATAATTATTATACATGCTGGCAGAATGTGATCAAGTTATCATGTGCGTCAGTAGCTTGACTTCCACTTTCTAATTCATTAATCACAGTAGCATGAGATTCACAGAGAAGCGCTAAATCCGTCAGGGTTATGCACCACCTGGGAAATGAGAGGCAATAACATTTGATCTGGGAAGGGGATAGTAGCTCCGGTAACCTAGATCAAGAGCCCTTCACCAGTATAAATATTTTAATTCTTCAGATTTAATATTACATCCTGTATCTTTTTAGTCCATATTACGACTGAAAGACGTGTGCATATATTTTCCATAAATTACCTGAAATTATTCGCTAAAACCTATCAATTTGTGTTCTATAAAAACTAATAAGCTCACAGTTTAATACACATTTCCATTAATATATTCAACTTTTATTATTCATAAATATTCAAGATTCTCCTTCCTGCATCTGTAAAATAATTTCTTAAAGAATATGGGCGTCTTCTCCAGCTCAGATTCACGAATTTCGTGAGAGTAAACAAATTAACCAGCCAGACACCAATGAAGTGTGTAAGATTCCCAACTAGTGCTTCAGTATTCTGGTAGGGGCTTCACATGAAGGTCCTTCAGAACGCTGAGCTTCCTTCATGATCGTTCAGTGAGTTGTGAAGCCAAAATCGACCCACTTGCGACTAAGACGGGGTTAGCTTAGCCTTGAGATACAGGCGTAGTGTAACTGTCACAACACTAGATGCATTAACGTCACTGTTGAAAGCGTATAATAACAAGAGAACAATGGATCACTGGAGAAGGCCTGTTGGCCCATGCTAGGCAGGTCCAATTAACACCCAACCACACACACACACTAATGTATCCATCCAACCTATATTTAAAGGTACCCAAAGTTCTCACTTCCATGACACTTCTTTGGAGCTTATTACTCTTATATGCATTTTTACCAAATTAGTTCTTGCTCATACTGTATCCTTTCTAACTTTATATTTATCCAACTAGAATCCGTTGCTGTGACTCTTGTCTTGGTTAGATTCTTTCATCAGTTATTTATATCTCTTATATTATTTCCTGTTTTCCATGTGTACATTTCAGTCATTTACCACCCTAATTCTACATCTTTCGAGCGAGACAAACTCGATATCTTCAGTCTATTTTCGTAGATCTTTCCGATATATGTCATTAACTTTGCCATCCTTCTCTATATATTTTTCAGTGCATTTATGTCCCTTCTGTAACATACTCTAAATAAGGCCTTACCAAAGATATAAGAGGTGAAATATAACGTTCGGATGACTGTTATTTATGCTTCTTCATGTGAAGCCAAGAATTCTATGAGCTTTTTTTGAGAAAATTTTTAGTGTCCATGATAAGGGCGTTTCCTAGCTGGTTAAGGGCGTGGTCTATCTTTGATAGTTGGGAAAAAGGAGAATGGGGGGTGGGGGTTGATGAGTAGCCTAGTCGTGACCATGATGGGGGGATGTATATAACCTGGTGAGAAGCAGCATCCAGCATTACACCTTCACCAACCATCACCATGACAACAACAAAGGTAAGACGCTCACGTTGCCTCTTTGTTATTTGGAACCTTGGATGACGATATAATAGCCTAACTCTACGTGACAGTGTATATAATGGTCCTATAATAAATTATGTACAGCTAACGCGGGTATTAGTTTGCAGGAAAATAATTAGTCTGAAAATGCAGTGAAACGCAAAGCTGATTTCGTATTTCATTCTATATACAAATTTTGTACATCACTTGAACTTGGATGATTTCATACAGCTTTCAACTGGTACTTAAAAAAATAGGCATTTAAATTAAATGTCCATATAGTTAAATTTCAATAATCATCAACAAATAATCATGATTCTTTTTCCTTCACGATGTAAATTATTTTCTAAAGAGTGAGAATTTTGTCTCTAATTTCTCTTTTTTTTCAAAGACATCAGCGTTAATAAAACTACTCCTGTAACAGGTGACGATCTTGGCAAGCCTGATGACTCTCGTCCTAGGCGGTAAAAATTCCTACCTCCACTCTGCTCCTGTGAAAACAATTATCCACGAGAGCCCTATACACCACTCAGGTCCTGTTCACCATGGTGGTTTGGGTCTCCATGGTGGTTCAGGTCTGCATGGTGGTTCAGGTCTGCATGGTGGTCCAGTTGTTTATTCTGGCCCAGTTTACGGTAAAACATATCCAAACGTGAGTTCAAAGTTATTTTCGTACTGATTTAATTTATAGAGTAAACCGGTCACGAAAACATAGCTTGAAATAATTAATGAATATGAATTGAAGCAATTACATTCACGAAAAATGAATTACTGTACAAATATAATCAGCCAATGTCACAGTGTAGGCTATATTTTAAAGTTTAAATATATAAATATTGTTAAAGCAGTAGAGGAAATAGCCAAGTATTAACCAACACAAATGTGACAGAGATGCATAATAGCTTTAGCAGAGTTTAGTGATTAATTAAAGCCTTTAGACAAATCTAGTTATTTACCAATTTTTTTTTATTTATTTAATAAATGAATGCAACGTAGACTTACAGAACACCTATAATAATAATAATTATTAATACTATTACTACTAATATTGTTTTTACACTATGATAATAACAATACTTAGTAAAACTAATTATTATCCATGCTCGGAGATAGTATTAATATTATTATCCATGCTCGGAGATAGTATTAATATTATTATCCATGCTCGGAGATAGTATTAATATCATCATTTACTCCAGGCCAAGCCACAATACAGCTTCGGTTATGGAGTCAATGATGACTACTCTGGCAACAACTTCGGCCATCAAGAATCTCGTGACGGCTACAAGACAGAAGGAAAGTACTACGTGAACCTTCCTGACGGCCGTGTCCAGACTGTCAAGTACTACGCAGACGAGACCGGCTACCACCCAGAGGTCTCCTATGAGGGTGTGGCCCACTACGACTCCCACACTCCCACTTACCACAACTCCGCTCCAGTTCATGTGTCCGGCTACCACTAACAGTACCTATTTTTGCCAAAATTCATGATAATATATAAGCATGCTGAAATCTCAGAACATAGTGTAATATTTGTTAGTGATCACTGTAGACTCGAAGCACCGGTCTGGAATTACAGCGGTCACTTTTACCACTCTTAACTCTAAAGGCACAAAAAAAAAAATGATAACTATCCAAAGAATCTAGCTTTGAAGATTACTGCTGCTGCCACGATTTTGTTCTCTTACAAGCTGAAAATATTTCTCAAATTACGTTCCCTTTTTAGAATTTCCTTTCTAAAAACTTAGCTTTTAAATTTATTAATTAAACATGGGAGTGCAATTTTCGTTTCATACATTATATATAATTTTTCTTAAACATAAATTATAAATGTAAATATGTACACAGTGCAATGAATATAATGAAAACAAACCTTTCCTTTTGATATGATCCTAAATTTATAATTTAATCCATCAAATAACTTCCCATAAACACCACAAGAAGAACACTTCGTAACTATCACTGGATAAGTAAGACGCGTGTGCGAAACTTAGATATCTTTATTCCGAAAAGTTTCAGAATAAATATACCTAACTGCTGCACATTTTACTTATCAACTTATCAGTATTATATACCATTTTTATATCCTAAACTATAACTTCCACTTTAACTGTGTTTCCAGAACGTCACACAGTAGTGATCCAATGTTGACTTACCGGTGATAACACCATCCGCCCAACATAAGAGCAGGCATTGTACATCCCATATTGAAGGGCTCTTGATTCAGATAATTGAGGCTACCCTCATTTTCCACAGATCAGACCCGATTATCTGCCATTTCCCAGTCGCTGTACTCCTTTTATGGGCATATACTGCCTGAGGAATATAATCATAATGTATCTGATCTCAAAATCTGACAATTGGTTATCATGGTCCCTCTCTCTTGCAGCCTAGCAAATATATTGCTAAAAGAAAAAGTTATCCGATCATCAAATGGTTGTTTTACAGATGATGTGGCCAAAGAAAAACTGGAAGATAGCAATTCAGCCTTAGCCAATAAATCCTTTAGTAGGTCGCGTTGTTTAGTTACTTTGAAGGTTCATTAAGGCTGCCTGTCCCCTGAATGATACTAGTGAAGGATATTTTAATCCCTATGTTAAGGATAGAAGTATAATCATAGTGTTTATACATTAAACGATTAACACTCAGTGTAAATATTATTGGGGTCGGGAGGGGGGATATCTTACATAGCGTTGGGAGGGAAGGATCTTCCATGGCTTCGGGAGGGGAGGATCTTCCATGGCGTCGGGAGGGGAGGATCTTCCATGACATCTGGAGGATGGGATCTTCCATGGCGTCGGAAGGGGTGGATCTTCCATGACGTCTGGAGGATGGGATCTTCCATGGCGTCGGGAGAGGTGGATCTTCCATGACGTCGGGAGGAGTGAATCTTCCATGGCGTCGGGAGGGACGGATCTTCTATGGCGTAGGGAGGGGTGGATCTTCCATGACGTCTGGAGGAAGGGATTTTACATGGCGTCGGAAGGGACGGATCTTCCATAGCGTCAGGAGGGGCGGATCTTCCATGGTGTAGGGAGGGGTGGATCTTCCATGGCGTCAGCAGGGGCGGATCTTCCATGGCGTCAGCAGGGGCGGATCTTCCATGGCTTCGGGAGGGGCGGATCTTCCATGGCGTCGGGAGGATGGGATCTTCCATGGCGTCGGGAGGGGGAGGATCTTCCATGACGTCTGGAGGATGGGATCTTCCATGGCGTCGGGAGGGGCAGATATTCCATGGCGTCGGGAGGGACGGATCTTCCATGGCGTCGGCAGGGGCGGATCTTCCATGGCGTCGGGAGGGGCGGATCTTCCATGCCATCGGGAGGGGTGGATCTTCCATTGCGTCGGGAGGATGGGATCTTCCATGGCGTCGGGAGGGGCGGATCTTCCATGGCGTCGGGAGGATGGGATCTTCCATGGCGTCGGGAGGGGGAGGATCTTCCTTGACGTCTGGAGGATGGGATCTTCCATGGCGTCGGGAGGGGCAGATATTCCATGGCGTCGGGAGGGGCGGATCTTCCATGGCGTCGGGAGGGACGGACCTTCCTTGGAGTAAATTGATTACTAGCCAGCTGGTGTCGTGAGGGGAAGTGTCACAGTGGTGGTGAGTGCGGCTAAGTGACAAGTAGCAACTTACCTCGCAAATCTAACGTGATATGGGCTTCACTGTAGCAACCGGTACCCACCCAGAGGCTCCTGTGGCCTGCACAGCTCGCTGCTCTTATATGGAAAGGTACGGGGAACATGATGAAGGCGAATGACAAGTCAAACTGGTTGTCATTAGCCTTTGAACCCTATCGACTACATGAGGGTCTTTAAGGCTGTTTACAACCTGTTCATCACCAGTCAAGGTTTCTCTAATTCTTAAAACAGGGATGAAAATGAAGTGTCATTGCTTATGCACTGAGAGACGCATTCCGTGTGTGGAGTGGCACTCCTGTTGTGGAAATTACTAGCTACGTATTACTAGTTTCACAATTAAAAATTTTATGTAAAGAGTACCAGGCAAGAAGATCATACCAAATGATAAAAATGTTTTGCAAGTAGTACCAAGCGATAGACTACTAGGAACTGAGAACGTCTTGTAAAGAGTACCAAAGTCTGACTGCTGAAAAATGTCATTTTGGAAGTACCAGGAGTGTAGGCTACACAGTAGAGATGAGAAGTTAAGAAACTATGTTGAACAACAAATATTAGTGAACTGGTATTAAACCGGTATGAATTAATATTTCCTCAGCTCCACTTTCGGGCAATATTAGTCACATAAATATTTAATACATGCCTTTTGTTATGAGTTACCCTTTGATACAAATACTATTATTAAAGTTTTAATACAATAAATTTTATGAATTATTGTTTCTTATCACACCGGCCATTTCCCACAGAGGTAAGGTAACCCTGAAAGAGGAATCATATTCACCTTCATTCAATTTATCGCCATCTTGCCAAAGACTGATGCCACAGTTCAGACGGCAACAGCCTCATTCTTTCGTTAGAGTGCAGGCACTGTACTTCTCACCTCCAGGACTAGAGCCTGACTAACAAGGTTTCCCACAATCTGGAAATAAATATCCCTTTGCTCCCTCTCCAATACCAGGTCAGGTCACTTGCCTCCATCCACTCGGATCTTATGTTTTCACACAAGCCTAATGGATGTTCGAGCCCCTAGGACTCAAAACTTTCCTTACACCCATCCCTCCAGACTTTCCTCGGTTGAGCTCTATCCCTCCTCTCTGCAGGGCAATTTATAAACTCTCCTAGACACCATATTTTGCTCCATCCTCTCTAAGTGCCTAAAAAACCTCAACAATCCCTCCCGGCCCTTCCAATTTTACTTTCGGCAATCCCCACACCTTCACAGCATAACATTCGTCGCCCTCAAACACGACATCTCCTTGCCTCCAGTCTCCTCTTCGTTGCAACAATTAAAATCCATGCATCACATCCACTTAAAAGTGAAGGTACCACTGTACTCTGGTGCATTCGGCTTTTTTTTCCACTTAACAGTTGTCTTAGTGCACCACCATCTTTCTTACCCCTCTTGTTTACGTGGTCTTCCATCGATCCATCTGTCGACAAGACCACTTCCAAATATTTGAGCATATATACCGCCTTCTTAATCATGTCTGATATAAAATCTCTCATTGATACGCTCATCACCTTGCTCTTTCTTTTATGAACCCACTCAGGTATTAAGACTGAAGAAGAAATTAGGAAACTCACTAGAAATGGCCGGGAATTTTTCAAGGAGCTGATCATAAGATTTAATGGAATCAGGAACATTACCAGAGAGTCAAAGAGAGAGTGTCCCATTGAGTATTGGACACAGTGCACACAATACTAGAATAGGAAGAAACTAATGAGTGAACTAAATATTTCAAAAGCAATGGGACCAGACAGCACCTCTTGTTGTGAGTTCCGAGAGAGGAACCACTACCTGCTATTTATAACATGTCAGTGGAAAGAAGGCAACAACCGAGGGTCTAGAAAACAGCGTACGTAGTCCAGATATTTAAAAAAAATAAAACCTAGCATTAAACTACAGGCCAGTGTCATCGACGTTCATAATATATAAGATTACTGTGTAGCGTAGTGGATCACATGAAAAGGAGAAGATTCGTAAACAATAGCCAATACGCTTTTAGAGTTATATGACGGAGCAACGAAATTTAGATAGGAAAGAGAGGGGTGGGTGGACTGTATATTTTTTGACTGTACGAAGAGTTTCTATACAGTATTACACAAGAGACTGGAATACAAGCTAGAAGAGCAGATAGGAATAACAGGGAAAACATTACAATGGATTGAGGAATACTTAACTGGAAAGAAACAACACGTTATTGTACGGAAAGAAGTGTTGGAATGGGCAAGCATGACGAGTGGGGATCCGCAAGGGACAGTACTGGGATCAGTACTGTTTCTTCTGCATGTAAACGACATGAGAGAAGAACCAGATTGAGAGGTATTCCTGTTGGCAAATAACGTGAAACTAATGAGAGGAATATAGCCAGGAGCAGACCAGGAAAAACTGTTTATGAATTTTAACAAACTGCAGGATTAGCCTGATATGTGGCTACTAGAAATTAATCTCATGAAATGCAAAGTTGTGAAAACTGGGGACGGACAAAAATAATGAAGTACAGTCTTGGCGAACAAAGACTGCAAACCTGTTTGAACAAGAAAGCCTTCGGGGTAAGCATAGTTCCAAGCATATCGCCTGAGGCACTCATCAACTGAATAGCGACACTGATTAATTTAGGATCGCTTTCAGAAACCATCACAAGAAGTCATCAACGACTCTTTATACCGCATTTATCGGGCTCATCTTGGAGTATGCAGCACCAATGTGGAACCCATGTCAGGTAAAACATAACAAAAACATGCATGGGTTTACAACGCGATTAGTACCAGAGGAAAAAGGTAAGAACTATAACGAGAAGTAAAAGTTTCAACACTTGATGACATTAGAGGATAGAAGAATCACGGTTCACATGGTTGCGACGTACAAAATACTGAGGATTGATAGGATGGATAGAGGTAGACTGCTTGAGAGGCTGGATACAGGTACATGAGGGAACACCAGGAAATTATAAATACAGATGAATCAAATTGATGTTAGCAAATGTTTCTTTAGTCTTAGAGTTCTCAGGAAGTGGAACAACTTAGACAGCGAAACAGTAG